CCGAGAAGCTTCAACTCTTCTGAAACGAAACCTTTCACTTCTGAAACGAAATCGTTTCAGTTCATTGATTAATCAGCACATTATTATTGACTACAGATTATTCAATCAGTTATAAACATGTTTTGATAATAATGATCAGTTTTCAGCTGCTAACGAAACTTATCGATAAATGTTTTTTGGTTAGTGAAGGGAATAATTGTTTTCTTTTAGAATTTGAGCACCTTCTGCATCAGCCTTTTGCACTTTAAAATCAGCATGCTCTTCGGACTGCAATGTCGAACTGTCCTTTGGTTTCACTTCTTCAAAGTACTTTTGCATTGCTGTTTCGAATGATTGATGCCCTTTGGTATAGGTCACTGCAAAATAAAGCAGTTTTACATCGACACAGCTCATAAGGAGAACATTATGAAGGACATGTGACATCGCCTAGCATTCATTCGAGTTGAACTTGTTATTTGAGAATATCGATGTGAAACGTGAATGAATGTGTTCTTGATGATTGCAAATGTAAAACTGAACGAAGAAAACTTACAATAGTTAGCTAATCGTTTATCGGAATCCGAATGCAGATAGACCTTATAATCAAGTTGATTTCTGAGTTTGTGACTGTGGAAGAACGACGAGCCCTGCACCATAATAACATCAGCCGTTATCGATTCCATTGCCTGCTCATGGATTCGCTCTAAAAGTGCATTCATCACAATTTAATTAAAAACAATTAGCGGTAAGCAAACAAATTAAAATTTACGAACTATCTTAATTTGAGAGGGCCTAGCAATTGAACTTATTGATTATTTGTTTTTTTACTCACAATATTTGTCTTCTTGACTGAGAAAATAAGCTGTCTGTGAGTGATAAGAAGCGAAATAATCGCCATCAAACACTTGTTTATTTATAGCTTTTTGCTAGTGGAATTGAGTGGAGATTGTAAGGAAATATGTGCGAAGGATGCTGAAAATAAGGAAATCTGAGATAGAATTTGATGATGACATACAAAACGAGGGTTTGTGTCATCTGATGCGCACAAGAAATGATAGATGGCGTTCATGTGTGAATATCAATCAAGAAATGAAAGAAACCTTCGGAGAGAACCGAATGGTCGGATTTAGCGTTCTCGTGCACGATGTAGGTCGTCAACTTGAATTTGTCAGCCAAATGCTTTTGGATGGCTTTGCTGAACGCTTCCTTCAAAACTTTCCATTACAAATTGGTCTGTTGCTCTGTTGTGCTTTTAGACTGTTCATCTAACTGCCTCAGAAAAAACTGCTGATCTTGTTCCGTCAGCAAGCTNAACATTGCTGACTTGAATAAGCAATAAGCAAGTATATGTAAATCAAGTCTTACCTTTCCGGCAGCACTACCTCCAACAACACCAACAACTACGGGCATTCGCATTTTCAAATAGCAGTTTATCTAAATCAGAGTGAAAGATATTACATTTGAGCCTAGACATAGGCTGAGACTCATTCCCTGGACTGACGTGAGACTCAGACCAAGCCGTCCGTTAATGGTTTTTGGTATGAGCCTCAGTTGAAGACTGAACTCAAATTCCATATTTCATCTGATTACCGCCGCTCATGCAAAAATGATAAAGGTAAACATTCATAAGTATAATCATCATTCAACAATAGCACTAAACATTTTGCAATCTATTCTACTAAACAAACGATTGCTATAAAGCACCACGTGATTTTTCGATTGTTCTTTACGGGTCAAATAGAGAGTATGGCCATCAATAACACGATAAAACTATGCGAATGACCTGATCAATGAGCGTTTATATAGCGTGAATGGTTCAAGGGATGGACCGGGAATGCATTAAGAGTAATAATCGAGAGATTTAGACGATTAGAATGAGTGACGATAATTAGAACGGTGATAAGAAGACATCGACTCATAACACAAGGAGTCTTCCTTTGAAACAAAAACTATAAGAAAACAACCACGTGGTATGTTTCGGTGGAATGAATGAAAGGAGAAGAGGCATCTTTTTTTCTTCCTATTTCGTTGCTGACTACTCGTTGAAGGAGATGAAAAATTTCTGAGATGTGGAATTGATAATAAATTTAAGCACATTTTTCAGAGACAGTTGCTGCTTATTGATGTGATGATGTGTTGTTTACAAGGCATAAAGACGTGACTTTCGATAAATTTTTAGAACAATGAAGCAATTCGATTGATTTGTCATCATTCAGAGAATAGTTTTTGAGTGGATTAAAGCGCAGTAAAAGTTCCCGATTCTGATGTTTTTGTGTGTTTATCATTAGAATAGTGCTAGTCGTTTATAAGATGATTAAATGTTTATGTGCAACTTCGTCTCTGATCACTAGAAGACTAAAATTCCCTACAAAATTGTTTCTTCGTAATTTTTGATTTTTGAATTTTTGATCATCTGATCAACATGATCAGATGATCAAAAATTCAATTGAAATCGTCATTTTTTAGGATTAACGTCATTTAACGGAATTTGATTTGATCATTCTGTTAATTTTTTTGTTGTAATGATTGGATGATGTATTTATTACGTTACGGTTCTCAGTGCTGATAGTGATGTTCACGCTGATATTTACGGATATTGTTCAACTGTTGATATCATTATTATCACTATCAACTTTGATCAAGTGAATGAATGATCGATGCCACCTATCTTAACGACGATCGCTCATCAGTTAGTGAAAGAACACATGAAATTTAAGGTGTAAACAATGTCATCGAATCGAGTTGCATTTTACGTATCATTTCAGTTTTTAAGCAATAAATATTGAAATTTATCATGTGATCTATGAAAACGAAAACATATTCATTTTCTTATGGTGTCATATAACAGCAATATGATTGTGAAATGTTTAATGCAGGATGTTTAGACTAGGCAAACTGAGTGCAGACTTTGCACAAAGCAGAACAACATTCAACTGTTCATTTGATGACTAATGCTGAGTTGAGAGCAAAATTTTCTGGATGTTTTGTAAGGCGATGAAGCGATCTTGGAATGGAATGATTTATTTTCTGTTCAAGAAATCGCTCAGATCCATGCACCATTTCGGTTTAGATGACGTCGTTGTGTGTTGTTGTTGTTGAAAGTATTCGAGAAGATGCTCATAACAGCGGCCATCACTTGTACCCAATAGTGAGTGCTGCACGAAGTCGGGATATGCGATTGCATCACAAATTGCGATTGCATTCGGTTTCAGCAATGATTCGGCTTCACATAAACCATCTTGAATTCTCTGACCCCATTCAGAACCTTCGCAATAACCACCTGAAATTAGTTGTTGCAGACGAGGAACTTTGATGGTCTTATTAAAACATCCTTCAATGAGCTTAGTTTTTCGCACCATCATTCTGCAATAAATTCAAATCTCAAAACACGAATAAACGAAACGATGAAGNGATGAAGTGACAGCTGCTCTAATCCACAATGTTTTGATTTTCATGCCTCAAAACGAAACAGCTACATGTCTCATAATCGGTAGCCAGTCAATCTGCCCAAAGACATTTTGCCTAACGGACAGTTTGCCTAACTTACGGTTTTTCAATGGATATTTTGCCTAATAGACAAGCTGTTCCTTAGGCAAACTATCCGTTAGGCAAACTGTCCGTCAGGCAATGTGTCTTTAGGCGAACCGTCGTTAGGTAGATTGACCGGCCACGCTCATAATCTTAAGTCATATGATCATTCACCCCAAGACCGTATCGCATTTGATCTCTGCTTACATGCTTTATCTCTTTTTGCTTGCTTCTTACAATGTTGTTGTTTAACATCTACCGACTAATGTGAATCAGTGAATTTGGGAAACGTGAATTTCGGGGACCCGTCCTCGTCCCAGATTTTTCCAACATGCCAACATTTTCAGGGTCCCCGACCTTTTTCCCGTTTTTTCCTTCCCCGCAACACACTGATGTGATAGTTACATAAAAACAAAGAGCAGAGCTTATGGGCGCAAGTAATCTGTGATAAGATTATATGTCGTGAATCACGCTATTCACGATAAAGATGATATCGTTTATGATTATTTTTGTGAATAATCTCTCATCGCGCCGGCCAGATGTTTTATTTTCTTCAAAAATGTATTGAAAATTTTGTATTGAGTAATGCAGACATCTTATGAAAAAGCCTCCTCTTGTACCATCCAGATGCTTCTTAACCTTTGTCTCCTTCATGAATATGTTGAAAAATTTGTATTAGACATCACGCCATGCACGTGCCTTCGCTGTATTCGCGTGATTCATTCGTTACGCTAAATTTGCTATAGAAGGATATTGCTCGCCTTCGATTTGATCGTTCGTTATTGTTCAATCACTCGTCGTTGCTTATCCTTCGACCCAGTTAATTACTCAGTTTCGATTCGGTTATTGTAGATTTGGTGGGTGTAAATCAAAATAAATCTTCGTAGTGAATAGTGCACTTACTCAAAACATCACTAGACACGACGCCTATCTTCTGCTCATCCAAATGTCTACCCTTCACTATTCTCTACGTCATATGATACAAGATCATATGACTTAAGATTACAAGACTAACCACCAAACCAATTACCAACTATGTTGAGATGCAACAGTATGTGAAAGGTGCTCACTATCAGCGAAAATCTCTCAGAGGTTATATGTAACGAGAATGTATGCGAGAGCCGAACTCATCATTAGTTGTGTGCAAGAAATTGCTGTTTTACACACAGACTGTGCTATACCATGCTGAATTTTATATTGTGTGAAGATTGTGAACATGCTTTGTGATTTGTACTGAGTTGAATGCAAGCAATCTCATAACTCAAAATCACTCGAATAATGAAAAACGCTATCGCAGTTCGCTCGTTTGAACAAGTGTTCTGAATATAAACAAAGCGGTCATGATACAATTCATCACGTCAATTGCTAGTATAACTAATAGGCGATTTTCAAATACAAATGGAAGTGTGAAGTGCGACGGTCTACCTGATTGATCGATATATCGCTGTGCCCCATTCCCGTCTTCT